TAAAAGCCTTTTGATTCAGCCCAAAAATCTATTCTTCAAGGAACAAACAAAAATCCACAAGAAATGATTCACGTAAACCTACTATTAAGAAGGCAAATAATTAGTTCGAAGACTGTTATTAAGGACAAACAAATTAATCATGGGCTCTAGGTCAACCCTGGTAGAGCCAAAAAGATTTGCTGATGGACTGAAAGTAGGATATAAGAGAAAGAGGAGTCAAGGATTTTTTGTTTAACCTATTTAAAGAAACAAAACAAATTATATAAACATAATAGAGACAGTAGGATAAAGAAATTAAGTGTCCACTACTTACTAGGCGCCCTTCTTCATTTAACTGTCACAAAAGGGGGAAAAGATTATTATTTTCATTATAGACAAGAAAACTGTATGTTCAAGGTGGTTAAGTAACTTGTGTAAACTCATATAAATATTCAGATTCTAAATATATTCCAAGTCTACTCTTCCCAAAACCATGTGGCCCCCTCTCCTGATTACTCACTATACCTTTGCATAGAACTGACAGAAACTTTGTAACTCTTGTGTATCTATAACAACATATTATAATGAATGATCATTGTCTACTGCTTTCATTGTAGAATTGGATTTAATTCTAGGATTTCTACCTGGTTTTGAATCTAAGTGTATAAGTGATGCTTCAAAAAAAAAAAAAAAAAAAAAAAGGCAAACCAATCAAGTCTGAGAAGACTTCAGGAAAAATAATGTGATCTTGGTTTCTGACAGGGGTCACTTGTAAGCCACCTGTCTTCCTCCAACCATAGCTAACTTGTTTCAAAGAGGGAAAGCAAGACACCTTCACCTTGATAAGTAAAATTCAGTATGATAAATTTTTATAAAATTGATTTGTTCCAGAAAAACAAAAAGGGCTTTTGGGAGAAAAAGTAAAAATTAACCATTTACTCTAAAACTGCCCAGGAAAGTATAATCTAACAAGATGAGAGACAGAAGATTAGTTATTGCCCTTTCTTAATATATTTAAAAACAGAGAAAATAAAATTATACAGATTGTTCAAATATATTTTTTAAATTCCATAGTATATTACCCTTCTTGAAAAAAAGGATGAAGATATAAGAAAAAAATACATGTATGCTCAAATCTGCAAAAGAAATTCAAGAATAAACCATAAACTACTGAGATTGGTTACCTACAGGAAGAAATAGTGGAGAAATGGGAAAAGGTTACTAAGGATGAGGTGAGAGTAACACTTCTGAGCATATTGTTTTGTATAAAGTCAGTCCCCCATATGCGAGGGTTCTGCATCCACAGATTCTACCAACAATGAATGAAAAATATTCAGGGAAAAGAAAAAGTTATGTCGTTGCTGACGTATACTATGTGCTTAGGTCTATGATGATTGTGTCTGTATTGAACATGTACAGACTTTTATTTCTGGTCACTGTACCCTAAACAATACAGTATAACAACTATTTATGTAGCATTTATTTTGTGTTATGAATTATGAGTAATCTAGAGATGATTTAAAGTGTACAGGCTATATGCAAGTATCATTTTATATAAGGAACTTGAGCATCAGTGGATTTTGGTATCTGTAGGGCCTGGGGTTTGCAGAGAGTGGGGTATGTCCTGGAACCAAAGCCCCATGGATTCTGAGGAGCGACTGACTATAGATTGGAAATTCATGGTAATGTTTCATATATCACAAAATCAGACGAATAATTACAATTAGCTAGAGTGTGGGGGGGGGCACCCCAAATGGAATGTAAATATGAACCTAATTTTTACAAAAGTATAACCATACTGAAGGGAGTGGGGAAGAAAACTAACCTAAGCTAGAAAACATGTTTTCCATGTATAATATATGACTAACGACAAAAGGAATTATACACAAATATTTTGTACTTAGGAAATTTATGTTTCATAAAGGCATGAGTGAATTCGTAATTCTAAAACTACTTCCTATATATATTATGTTTGAGCAAATAAATATATTGTGGATGATAAGAGCCAAATTTCTCACTTGTGGAGAAAGCAGTTTCAAATAAGCAAAGGGAGGGGGCAAGAACAAACCTATGGTGTTGAATTGGAATAGGAAGTGTCAGTACATACTCATAGTTTTAATATAAATACAGACTAATATAAAAATACATACTGATATGTATGTATGCGTACTGAGGTACATGTACTGTATTTCCCAGCTTTGCCTGCTAAGGGGTTCTAGAAGCGATAACATTCCATAGCATCAGTAAATCCAGCACTCTGACCTAACGTTCTAAATCCCATTCTCCAATAAGAGGGCTCAGAGCTTCTTGGAAAATGGTTGATTCTCGACCCAAATTCCAAAATGGGCCTAGAGCACCAGTGGGGCCAAGAATAAAAAAGTGCTTAAAACACCATGAACTACTTAAAAGGACACACCACCCAAGTTGGAGGAGAGTTTCCAATGCAAAAATGTGGCACAATTTGAGTGATAAAATAAGAATAGTAATGTATAATAATTACAGAATAAAATAAACATCCATGGATCCACACTAATATAAACTAAATAAATAAACAGGGCAAAGAGGCAGCTTTTTCACACAGAATTCCAACTAAATGTAAAAGATACAGTGGAAATTTAAAACATAACCCTTAGGCAAATACCACACTAATAACTGTGCTAAAATCAGCATGCAAAGGTGTATAAAAAAAAGATACTTGCATAGTCTCCTAGCATTTCCCTCCAATGAGATACTTAGTAACTACAAAAAGGAAAAGAGTTGCTTTACAGTGGAGAACCATGGCAGACCCACCTTGACCCAGTGACTCCAGTTACATCACTAGTAATGAAACACCAACACCACATACCTCTTGATAATGAGATGGGCACGACACAACTTATGTGGTATTTTTCCAAAACTGTGAAACCTCAGTGTAATCATGGGAAAACATCCAACAAACTCAAACTGAGGGATATTCCGCAAAACAACTGGCCAGTTGTCTTCAAAAATGTTAATGTCACGAAAAACACTCAAAGTCTGATAAACTGTCATACACTGGAGGGGACTAAGGAGACATGACAGCTAAATACAATGTGGGGTCCTGAATTTGATCATGAACCAGAAAAAGGACATCAGTGTGGCAATTGGTAAAACTGAAGTAAGATCTGTAGAAAACTTAATAGTATTGTAACAATGTTAATTTCCTGATTTTGGTAAATGTACTGCTGCAGCTAGGTAAGATGTTAACATTAGGAGAAGTTGGGTGAAGCATATAAAGGAATTCTCTAAGTAGTTTTGCAACTTTTTTGTAAGTCAAAAATTGTTTAGAAACAAAAAGTTAAAAAAAAAAAAAAGACTCCCATTGAAACGTTATCAAAAGCATGATTTAATTAAGCCTGCTCTAAAGTTAACTCTGCCAGGGCAGTTTTGTGGTAACATCCATAATTGGGAAAAAGTTTTCCTTTTAATTTAGTTGACAAAAATCTCCAGTTTTAATACAATATAAATTGTTAAATGTGGGGAGTCATTGCATTATAGGAAAAAAACTCTACTTTTGTATATGTTTGAAATTTGTCATACTTAAAATTTTAAATACGTCACACACAAACTTTTTAAGTAAGTGTTTATTTATATACTGAAGATAATTTTCTATCATTCTGTAACTTTCCTAAACATTTAGAATTCTGTCATAGAATGTTTAGGGCTGGTAGGATTCAGAAACCAAGCCATCTCCCCTTCCAACCTCACCATATAGGGAAGAAGCTAAACACTCAGAGGGCAATGTCCAGCAGAGCCAGCTGCAGCCAGGATCCTACCTCCAGACTCCTGGTCTCAGTATTTCTCCAACATCATACATTTGAGCTCTTCTTTGTTTATTCTGAACCTTATTGTGAATGATAACTATCTAAACACTTCAACTGAGATAGTACACTACTACTATTTTTAACTATTTCCAATTTTTAAAAAACTAATTTGGACTGATTTGCCAGACTCAGAAACAAAATATGGGTCCATTGCAGTATATACAACATGAGACCTGAGAAAATCAACTTTCCTAGTTTGCAGTTTTAAATGGACTTTTTATTTTAAAATAGGCCTTTTATGTAGTTCATGTTTTCATTTTTGTTTAGCGATTTGATTTTTTTCTTAACAGAGGTATTCTTGTTTTCTCATAATTTTTCTGCAGTACTTCAGCTCTTTCAAGCATTTATCCATGCAGAAAGCATTTATTGAACAGCAAATGTGTGCAAGGCACTACGTGATGCTGGAAACAAAAAGGTAAAGAAGCTCTAGTCCTCAAGCACTCACTGTGTACTAGAGAAATGGGCAAATGCTGATTACAATATTAATCATCAAGCAGTGTACACAGTGGTGTATACAATGTGCTCTGGGAGGAGGAATGATCAGTCATGCCAGTCCTCACAGCAGTATCCTTACTGTTAAATTAGGAAATGAAAATAGAACAGCCTCAGGTCACTCAATAAATGGCAAAGCAGACCTTGAACCCAGGTCTCCTGATGTAGAATAGAATGGACACTATCATTCAATTTTGATCAGATTAAAATAATGAACTGTTTGTTTTTTTTAATCTTGATGCCAGCCAGTGAGATGGGTCTGAAAGGCCTAAAGAGCATTACAATCTACTGCTCTGGTTAGCAACTCTGTAACTGGCAATTTATGTAACTTCTCTAAACTCATTTTCCTCATCCTGGGATAATAAATCTTACTGTATAAGGGTATGTGAAAAATAAACTAATAAATATGTATGGCAACTAATACAGTTGTTGGCACATCAAGGAGTCTGTAGAGTAAGAATTCCTTGATCGATGGGATACCCTTTCATGCATTTTTTTGAGTTTGCAGTACCTGGCACAGACGTGTTGAGTAAATATTTACTAAATGAATCATTATCAAATAAATGTCAAATTTAAAGCTATGCTTGAGATATGTTCAATATACTTATTTCCATATACAGACTGTAAACAAAATCTCCATTTCAACCCAGCTCTTGAGGACTAGTTCCCTCTCATGGTAGTGCTTACTTTCCACTGTGGCTCCCTCGTTGGGGTATGAATAGCCTTTTCCTTTCTGTTTGATTCTTCGGATAATGCCCCCATCTTGCAATAAATCCTCTCCTTTGAAATCAAGGAGCTCAATCTAGAAAGAAAAAGGAGATCTGGCTGAGAAAAGATCAAATGAAGCCGATTTAACATACTTCAAGGCAAGGGCAACCAATTCTCCTTTCATTTTACAAAACAAAACTCTTTTTTTATATTGATCTATGCATATCAGTTATTGGAAAAATCAAGAAAAAAAGAACACTGCACTTTTCAATACATGGAAAGAACCTTCTCGTAATGATAACGTCTGGGACCACATCCTCTGGAGAGAAGGGCAAAGCCAGCCAGGAAATACTGGGAAAACTACCTGGGGGGCAAAAGGCCAGAGCTACCAAGTGCATGCTCAACACTGCTGAGTGTTTTCTCTCACTCAAGAAACCACCACTTTTCCCACTCAGAACCACGGAATTCCCTTCTTAAAACGCAAGAATAAATCCTATGAAATCAGGCCTATAATCACTTAAGAGTGTTTTTTCTTAGTTACACTGTTTCAAGCATTTCCCCCCTCAATTTAAAAATCAAGTTTGGCCAAATGTGTGTAATTCAACACATGAAGAATAACATATTCTCACCCCCTGCACTGCCTAATGAGATCTGTGACATTTATAAATTTTATAATATGAAAATACCTTAAACCTGATTCAGTCATATTTCAACATTTATTCCCCACATTTCCATCCTGTCTTCTGGTCAATTTTAATACGCCATACTCGCACCACTCACCAGAATTTTTATTCCTGAGTCTGCTCTTTTGTTTATTTGATACGACCTTTTTGTGCCACAGACACGTTTATAAGAAAGCACTGGCACCCACTCCTTGAGTTTGTGGGAAACAATTCAAGAAGCCAAGCTCCAAAATAAATAAATTGGATTTCATTCTCAGTAGCTAGCTTAGCTCTTATTCTACTGCCTCTTGCTTCAGAACTAGCACTAGAGTAGAACAGATGCTAACAAGGCAGCATCACACACATACTTGCCTCAAAAAAGAGAGTTGCATTTGAGGGAATTCTGGGGACACTGCCAGCCGAGCCATATGCATATTCTGGTTTGCACAGTAAATGGCACATCTCTCCTCTTTTCATGGTAGCCACCCCAATGTCCCATGCCTTGATAACTTGGCCTAAAAATGAAAGGAAAAAGTGAGAGGCTAAAACCGCAGTTATGTTAGTATTAAGTCTTGGTTTGCTGATTGGGGGCTTAACACAAGTGACTCCATTTTGGACCAGTTGTCTCTCTTTTACATACTAACCTGAGAATATTTTTATTAATTTAAGAGAGACAGGAAAGGAAGAAGGGAGAAAGAGAGAGAAAAACATCAATGTGAGAGAAATATCCATCGTTTGCCTCCCACATGCGCCCTGACATGGGATCAAACCCACAACCTTTTGGTGTATGGGCAACCAACTGAGCCACCCAGCCAGGGCAGTTTGTCTCTTTTTTAACAAAAGCTGTAAGCCATCTTTAAAAAGTCTTAACTGTTGTAACACAAAAGTTGAAACAAATTTCTAATTCTTTACACTAGATACTCAGGTAGGAAGTAAGGGCTACAAAAGAACTCAGTAAAAGCTACACACTTAGAAATAAACTGTGATTTTTTTTTTAAAGGCTATCAAAAGATACACTGCTGAGGAGGTAGAAGTACTGATGTGTCAACTGCTCAAAAATTCAGTCTTTTAAAAGTAGCAGTAACATAATCTTTGAAATGAGGCTGGGTTGCAGTTGTTGCTTAACTTGTAATTTCAACCATAATGATGAGTGAATATTTTCTAGGTAGAGATGAAAAAATAAATAGTACAGAAAATGGAGTTCGTCCTAAGGAAGCTAATAATTTAGATGGGTTGACAAAAACAACAAGAAACAACCAGAAAAGAATAAACTGCACTAGAGTCCATGAACAGATTTTTCCTTAAAATTTAGCATAAGGGGGAAATCAAAATGGCGGACAAGTGAATGGAAGTCACACTGACCTCCTACGAGGACCAACCTAGAATCACAACTAAATTGTTTAGGAATCACCTGGAACAAACTGAACAATAGCAAGAGAGGATCCTTATAACCTTGGCCAGACAGAAGAATTAGTATTAGCACAACCTCACTGGTAAGGAGTGTAGTAGAGACTTGAGAGGTGGTCAGGGCACCCATGGGCGGCACCACCAGAGGGATATTGAACCGGCGAGTTGCGTCCCCCTGAGAAGAGCGGGGTCTAAACCATAAGCAGGGATCTCCAGCCTACAGCACCAGAGCCCGAAAAGCACACAGATAACAGCCAGCTGTGAAAAGCAGAAGGGTTGCTCTCTGACAGAGATGGGTGGCTGGAGATACAAAAAGCTGTTTGAAGGCCCAACGCATAAATTTCTATTTGCAGCCACTGAGGAGAGACTGGGAAAGGAGGCTTTGGGGAGAGAACTGAGAGAGTAGCTGGCAGGACCCCGGGGCTTACTGATCTCCCATACGGCAGCAGCCATCTTGCTCAGGCAGACCACTCCTCTCATGGCAACAGCGAGAGAGGTCACAATAGCCCCCCACCCCACCGGAGGGACTCTGCCCTGACCCGATGGTACTAAAACCTGACTGCTGAGTACAGAGTGGCAGCCACAGAGAGTAGATCCCTGGCTAAAGAGGGTGCAGACTGGTCTAGAGACACTTGAGAAGAGACTGAAGATGGTGGGTTTTGGCAGAGAATGGAGAGTAGGTGGCGGGATCCTGGTCCTGACTCCTCCCCCATTTAGCAGCAGCCATCTGGTTCAGGCAGACCACTCCCCTGAGCGGCACCAGCGTGTGAGGACCCAGTGACCCTGCCCTCAGGAGGGCCTCGGCCATGACCCAGCAGTGCTGAAGCCTGACTGCTGCATAAAGAGTGGCAGCCACAGATAGTAGATCCCTGGCTAAAGGGGGCACAGAGTGGTCTAGAGACACTTGAGGAGAGACTGGTGACGGAGGATTTGGGGAGAGAAGAGAGAGAGTGTCCGGCAGGACCCCAGTGCTGACCCCTCCCCCATATGGCAGCAGCCATCTTGCTCAGGCAGACCACTCCCCTGAGTGGCAGCAGCTTGAGAGTACCCAATAATCCCACCACCAGGAGGGACTCTGCCTTGCCCTGTGGTGTCTAAGCCTGACTGAGTGCAGTGTGACTTGATTAACAACTGAGGGAGACAGCCACAGACAGTAGATTCCTCAAGTCTCGAACAGACTGCCTAAGGTCAGACAAGGACAACATCTGACATCATCAGAGGCAGATCCAGAAAGAAAAATGGTCTCCTACCATAGAAGTTCACACCACAAAGTTCAGGAAATCAAGACATCAATTTAAGAAGCAGAAGCAAAAAGGAAGAGCCTCACAAATAATGGGAAGACAAAGAAACACCCCCCAATTAAAGGGAAAGGAAGAATCCCCAGAAAGAGAACTAAATAAAATAGAGACAAGTAAACTATCAGATATTGAGGTTCAAAACAATGGTTTTAAGGAAGCTCAATGAGTTCAGTGAGCTCAGAGAGAATTACAAAAAACTACAGGGAAACCACGAGGAACTTATTGCAAACTATATCAGCATGAAAAAGGCCACAGAAACTATCAACAACTGGCAAGAGGAAATGAAGAATACAATTTCTGAACTGAAGAACACAGTAGAAGGAATCAAAAGCAGGATAGGTGAAGCAGAGGATCAAATCAGCAAGCTGGAGGATGAGGTAGGAAAAAGCTCCCAGAAAGAGCAAGAAAATGTAAAAAAAAAAAAAAAAAAAAAGGACTCAGAAAGAATGAAGAGGCATTTAAGGAAATGCAGGACAACCTGAAACATACTAGTATCCGTATAAGAGAGATACCAGAAAAAGAGGATGAGGGATAGAGAACCTGTTTGAAAAAGTAATAATGGAAAACTTTCCCAATTTGAGCAGAGAAAAAGCCACGCAAGTCCAGGAAGCACAGAGGGTCCCATTCAAGAGGAACCCAATGAGGTCCACTCCAAGACACATCATCATTAAAATGGCAAATATCAAAGAAAAATAGAGTCCTAAAGGCAGCAAGGGAGAAAGAGGTAGGAACATCTTCTTTCCTCTGTGCCTGCAGAAAAGCAAAGGCCTGCAACCAAGACTGCTTACCCAGCAAGGCTCTCAATGAACATGGAAGGCAAACTAAGGAGTTTCCCAGACAAAAGAAGGCTAAAAGAATACACCTCCACCAAACCAGCACTGCAAAATATGCTAAAGGGACTGCTTTAAGAAGATGAAGAAAAAGAGTTTATGAATACCCAGTTCCTTTCAGTCACTAATACTTGATATTACCAATATTTTTAATACTTATTTATCTGATTGTGACAATGATGTTATTTTAATTGTTATTTTATTATTTGTTGAAACTAAACCTGTTTTTGTATATTTCTTGCCGATTTCTATTATTTTTAAAAAGTTTAAATGCCTTTTTGGTATTCTTTAAACATTCTTTTATTAAATATATAGCAGATGTTCCTCGACTTGTCATGGGGTTACATTCAGATAAACCCATTGTTAAGTTGAAAATATTATAGGTCAAAAGTGCATTTAGTGCACCTAAGCTACCACACGTGATATGCTAATCCAGACAGTTTCTACTAATTGCGTATTACTTCTCTACATCATAGGAAATTAGAAGTCAAATCTCGAGAGCCACCTGTATCTTGATCTTTTGCAATCAACAGAAAGGAGAATATGTATTTTAGTTGTTCAAGGTGCAGCCTGCTTGAATGTTACACTGCCTGGATTTGAGTGCCAGGTGTGGCCCTTACTAGTTGTGTGACCTTGTACAAGTTATTTAAATTCTGTGCCTTAGTTTCCTCATCTTCAAATAATAACAAGTACTAGTACCTGCCATAACAATAGCAGTACCAGCCACAGAGTTCTTATAATAATTATTAAACAGAGTATGTCAAATGCATGGCACAGTGTCTGGCATGTAATAGTTATTTAATAAAGGATAACCATTGTAAATACAAATAGACTAACCCTGTTCTCAATGACTGCTTAATATTTCAGTCACTCTCCTATTACAAACAGTACTCTAATCAGAACATTTGTCCGTATGTTTGCCTATTTGGTCCAAATTTATTTGGAGAGTAAATGCCTAGAAGTGCAAAGGTTATGTGCATTTTCAATTTGACAGATTTTGCCCAACTGCCCTTCCAAAATGGCTACGTCAACTTATGTGCCCACACATGGCTCCATTGTGAAAAAACCTGAACCAACAAAAGAAATGTAAAGTCTGCTGTAATAGGCTGCTTTCTTGTCACCGGGACTCCTCAAAAACTGTTACGTGTTAGTGTGGTCACTGAGAACTTTCCTTTTTAACTATCAACTGATATTTTAAGACAAATACTTTATACAGTCTTTCAGGAACTCTTTATATTCTGGAGGTTCTACTGTACACTTGTTCAAGATATTTAGCCAACAACTGAGGAGCAAAGGTCTGCCGAGTTACTAAGACTACAAAGATGATCATTCCCTTCTTCCTTCCAAGGAACACGCATTGCAGTATGGCCAGTGAAGGAGAAAGACACAATATTTTCCTTCTTTCTTTTTTTAAGCAAAAGGTGGTGAACACCGAAACAGTGTATAAACAAAGGGCATTTGCCTTGGGGTGAGGGTTGGTGTAATCGGCAAAGGCTTTTTCATGGGTGATATGCATGCAAGGCCTTAGAAGCTGGAAACCTCAACCAGGGAAATTAAATCCATAGGAGCCCCAAGGTGAATAAACCATGCCTGGCCCTTGCTTTTCTTCTTACTGGAGAACATTAAAGCTTCCCATTGAATAGAACACACAAGGAAAGAGCTGGAATGATATCGACACAGGTATGTTTCTAAAATTGCCAACACTGGGACTCTTCTTAAAAACATTTCCCCACTTAAAAAAGTAACACACTCCTTATAGAACTCTTGGAAAGTAGAGGAAAGCAGAGAGAATACAATAAAAAACCTCTGAAATCTCAGCACGTGGGCTAAACTGTCAATCTCTTAGTTCATTTCCTTCAAATGTGCAGGGTGGGGCAAAAGTGGGCTTACAGTTGGGAGTACATGAAACAATTTTTGTATTAGTATTATTGAAGTATTGTCCACAAGAACAACTGTAAACCCACTTTTATCTCTCTCTGT